CACAGATAATAATAATAATAATGGATTGCATTTATATAGCGCTTTTCAATTCCACTATTCATTCACTCTCACATTCACACACTGGTGGAGGCAGCTGCGGTTGTAGCCACAGCTGCCCTGGGACAGACTGGCCGATGGCGCGATATGGCAGATGACTGAAAGAAATGTTTGATGGAAAAAGGAAACAAAGTGTTTTGTTGCTAAACTTTGAGGTTCCAAGTCACCAATGGTTAAATAAGAAAATGCCAAGAGGAGACGAGCAGCTCCGAGTCTGTATGTAAAACAAACTCCACAGCAGAGATGCTTGTTCTTACATAGGTGCACTTACTCTTTGTTAGGGTAGATCTCATTTTAAAGTCCATTTTGTTGCCATCCTGTGATCTCATTCTGTTTCCAGGGGTCAGAATGTTGACGTTAGACTGTTTGGAATCAGGTTGTGATCTTAAAGTCACAGCAATGATTTTACAGTAGTAGTTACAGTATAATGTCCTTTACATTTCCAAACTCCAGTCATGGTTATGGGGACATTTAAGTTGTTGTTTTGTGTGACTGCACACTGCCCATCAGAGGACACTCAGTAAGCTGCACAGCAGAAGTATGAATCCAGTTTCATTTACAACAACAGTCACCTGGAAGTGAAACAGTTAGTCGCAAAAATGGTGGAAATTGAATAAATTGGAAAATAGTATTTTAGTATTTAGTATTTATTTATTTATTGTCATTGTCAAGAACAATGAAATTTTCCAATTTAGAATAAATCAAATGATTAACATTTATGGTTTTATTTATTATCTATGACAAAGTGTGTACAGACTGTAAGGACGACTGTATATTAACTGTTAAGCTCACCCTTCCAACATACGTCTGTGTGCATTACTGACATGATGTCAACACATCAAGGAGTTTATGACTTCTCTGTTTTTCTTTTCTCAAAGATTTCACAACATGTGAAGTTACAGCACAGTTTGTCCAAATGTGTACTTGTTTTTTCAGCCCGGCTGATTTTACAGCATCCACATTAGCTCAGGTAATAAAAGTACAATCATCACACAGACCGGAAGTGAACTTTAATGTTCCAGGTTCTGTTGAAGTCTTGTTAGATGATGTGAATCATCTCATGGGTCTTATTAGCAGCTCCTTTTAGCTTCTGTGATGCATTTACTTCTCTCACCTTAAACTAGACGTTAGTGTGGTCAAAGTTAACCCGTGTCCTGTTGCCATTTGTATTTCTAAAACCCAACTTCAGTGTTCACCCTGTAGACTCTCAGATGGAAACACCAATGAATTGAGACATTCACAGATTTTATCAGAACATCTTTAACGTCTTTGTTGTTTTTATGTTTTACATAAAAAACTTTAACATTTTATATTTTCAAATGAAAACACAGCAACATGAAAAGATATTTTTCTTTAATGTTGTTGCTGCAGCAATCTCAAATACTAATTATTCTGGGATTTTATGTTCAAACTGTGATTTTCCAAATGTGTGTGGAGTAAAATGAGCTTTCTCTGATGGCGCAAATGTTGTGACCAAGAATCATTCAGGGTTATCAAAACAAACTGTTTTAATAGCAGAAACAGTTCTCAGAGGTTACTGGTTTAAAGGCCATTTAAAATCTGCAGTAGAAAAAATATGTGATAAATCACAAAATATTGTATTGCAATACCCAGAATATTGCAAAAATATATAAAAAAAAAAATCGCAATAATATAGTATCGTGAGTTAAGTATTGTGATAATACCGTATCGTGGGGTGTATGGTGATTCCCACCTCTAGAAGACAACTGAGGCAACAGTGGAGGAGGGCCTATGAGACAGAAAGGGAGGGACTCACTGCCCTGCAGGAGGAAATAAAGCAACAGCTTACTAAGCTGCGAAGAGCACTTCAGACAACAACGTAAGAACAAAGAACCGACAAGGACAATTTTCTACAGCAACCCATACAACTTTGTTAAGGGCCTTTTTGTTGAAGAGCAGAGCGGGTGCCTCAAAATGCCCATAAAAGACCTGGAAGATCATCTGAGGAAAGCTTACTCTTATGATCAGAGGCATGAGCCAGTTACCATTCCGACTGATATGCCACCCATCCAGGCACCTGAACACCAAATGGACATAAGACCACCTACATGGAGTGAAGTGGAGAAGGTAGTGAAGAAGGCAAGAGCAGCATCGGCCCCAGGACCTAATGGCATCTCATACAGGCTCTATAAAAACACCCTACGAGTCCTCAAATACCTGTGGAAGCTGATGAAGGTAGCGTGGCAGAAGGCTTGGCGAAGAGCAGGAGGTATTCTGATCCCTAAGGAGAAGAACTCTTCATCCATCAGCCAGTTTTGCCAGATCAGCCTGCTGAATGTACAGGGAAAGATCTTCTTCAGTGATTTGGCCCAAAGACTATCTGCTTTCCTGCAAAGAAACAACTATGTTGACACATCAGTTTAGAAGGCTGGCATCCGGGGCTTCTCGGGATGTCTGGAGCATGCTAGCGTCATCTGGCACCAGATTCAAACTGCCAAAAAAGAACGAAGAGACCTTCATGTGGTCTTTTTAGACCTTGCCAACGCCTTTGGGTCAGTCCCACAAGACATCTTGTGGATGGCCTTCAACTATTTCAGCATCTTCCTCCCATTAGGGCCTACATGGATGACATGACCATCATTACAACAACAAAACCATGTACTAGGTGATTCCTACAGAAGCTCCTGGAAAACAATGGGCAAGGATGGAGTTTAAGCCAAGTAAATCTTGCAGCATCTCCATCATAAAAGGAAAACTGACAGTCAAGCAATTCTATATCAGTGGAGAACCAATTCCAACAGTCTTAGAGAAGCCCATAAAGAGCCTGGGACGGTGGTATAATGCAGACCTCAATGATACGTGGCAACTAGAACAACTAAGGCAGAACTTGGCTGATGACCTCCAGCGGATTAACAACACTGCACTCCCAGGGAAACTGAAGCTCTGGTGCTTCCAGTTTGGGTTATTACCCAGACTACTGTGGCCGTTGACAATGTACGAGGTCTCACTCAATCACGCCAATCAACTAGAGAGGCTAGTGAGCTCCTACGCTAAGAAGTGGCTCGGACTTCCCAAGTGCCTCAGCAGCGTTGGACTCTACAGCGACGGGATACTGGCATTGCCTATCCCCAGTCTGGTTGAGGAGTTTAAATGTGCAAAAGTGAGGCTTGAGATGTCACTCACGGACTCCCGGGACCCCGTAGTGGGAGGCACTGCTCCCACCCTAGCAACGGGGAGGAAGTGGACCCCAGCCACATCTGTGCTACAGGCCAAATTTGCTCTTCGGCATCGTGACGTGGTGGATCACGTCCAACAGGGCAGAGGTGGGTTTGGTCTTGGCGCAGTAACACCTCGGTGGCAACAGGCATCTGTAACCGAATGTCGAAGAATGGTGGTGTAGGAGGTGTGTCGACAGGAGGAAACAGCCAGACATGCCAGAGCCGTAGCGCTGGCCAAACATGGTCGCTGGATGAATTGGGAGAGTGTGGAAAAGAGGAAACTCTCATGGAGTGAAATCTGGGGCTCGGAGTCTAATAGACTAAGTTTCATCATCCGCGTGACATACGATGTGCTACCTTCTCCAATAAATCCGCAGCTGTGGTTTGGAAAGGACCCATCCTCCCCCTGTGTACAGTCCCAGCAACACTCAAGCACATCTTGGTTGGTTGTAGGACTAGCCTTACTCAAAGGCAGATACACATGGAGACACAATCAGGTGCTCAGGTGTCTAGCCAAGAAAGTTGATTGCAAGAGAAAATCCATCAATGCTCAACCTTTCAAGAACCAAGAGGAGCGTCAGTATTCATTAACATTTGCCCGGGAAGGAGAGAAACCACAGCCAAATACGGCGAGTGTCCTCAGCGGCCAGAAGAGAGAAGGATGCCACACCGAGGATGTGGACAAGTGGGTGAAGAATTTGTCTGACACACAGCTCACCCAAGCAGAGAAAAACATCCTTGCTAAAGGGTTGAATTTTGCTGTGACGCAGAGACAAATCTGATCGGAGCTGATCACAGCCACAGAAACTGCAATTCGAAACAGCAACAATATTGCAAAAGTGGAAGCAGAGCAACTACGGCCTGTCTCAGCAATGCAAAGCCCCCAGCATCCAACATCAGCATGGAGGAGAGGAAGGCACTCACATCACTTGGTAATGACAGGCAAGGGTATGTGCACAGTTTTGCTAAACCAGAAAGACTATCAAGAGAAAATGTTGTCACTGCTCAGTGGTGAAAATACAAAAAGGGAGGCAGAAGAACAGCACATCAAGAAGGCCCTGAGTAAATGTAGTTGTCCCACCTGGACTTTTGCCAAAGCTGGGAAGACTCCTAAAGAAAGCTCCAGCCGATCCAGGAGAGAAGGACGACCGTTGCCTAAGAGAAAACCTGTAGTGATCCCGTACATGTCAGGAGTATCAGAACTGCTGCTTTCTAAACACTGAGTTTCTGTGGCTTTTAACCCCCAAAACACGCTAACCCTTATAAATCACTGGTTTGACACAAAGTATCCACAGAGTACCACCTCTCTGCTGTTTTTAATGAAAACATCATTGGGTTCAAAGTTCACAGAAGGCACATGAAGTTTCAAAGTTCGTAGGCAGTCAGCACTAGACATGGCAACACTCTAATCTGGCAACACACAGACCCAGATGGTGTGGAATCCTCACAGCTGCAGTCTTATCTTGTGTAAACAGAGCAAAGCAGAAACTCCTCTGAGTTTAATTCATTTATGATTTATTTCTATAGGACAGAGTCACAACAACACTCGAGCCCAACAATAAAACAATCAAAGCACAGGAAGGACAAACTGGGCTTTAATAGGAAGAAACCTTCTGCTCAATCAGGCTCAGGGAGGCGTCGTGTCTGATGCCATCAATAAGGGCTGAAGAGAAACGTAAAGCACAGGAGTCAGGACGTGAAAGGCTCACAGCTTGTGAAACCTCTGGCAGGTTAATGATTAAACTAGTTCTGTTTATTGCAAATCACAGAGAGGCTGCAGTTTTCAGTTTTCTGGTAGTTCGAAGTGAAAAACAATGCAGCGTGTGTGTGTGTTGGACTTTGAGGAGGAAGCCAGGAAAACTCTTCCTAAAGCTGTGTATGACTACTACCGCTCAGGAGCTGATGAGCAAAAGACACTGGCTGACAATGTGGCTGCCTTCAACAGGTAAAACACAGACGTGTGAAGGTCACTGTCGTTGATGTGGTAATACAAAAATACTGAACTGAACATTCAGAGTAAGAATTTCTACAAACCGTGTTGGAGCCTGAATCCAAAGCTGAAATTACACACAGCAGCTGCTCTGGACTCTGATGCTTGTCTTTTTATCATTTTACATTATTTATGTGCTAACAGGTACGTTTAATGTGTAATGAATTACACTATAGGGACATAAGTACCACACCTGTTTATCTTTGGATCCAGGTGTTTTCTGTGCCATTTCCACAGGTGTATAAAATCCAGGAGTTAGCCATGCAGGCTGCCTTTACAAACACACTACTGCAAACCTGCAGAGCTCCAAGCCTCCTGCGCTGGAAGCTTAATGGCTTTCAACAGCTGTGTAATATGTAATTCAGATAAATGTAACAGCCCAGTACTTTGTCTATATATATATATATTGATGTGCTTCTACCAAAGCTTTCAGTTGTAGAAATAACGTGTTTTTTTTTTTGTTGTTTTTTTTTTTAAAATTAAAAAAAAAAACAAAAAAAGGATGACAAAGGATGAACTGAAGCTCCGCCATCACGTGATGTCACATGCTGCTGTTTCTGATGTCACTTCCAAAAAAAAAAAGAAATAACGTGTTTTCTTTTCAGAATCAGTCTGTCTCCGTTTTTCAATGGACATCAGAGTGTGAATGAATCTTTGTAAGTAAAAAGAAGCTGCAGAAGTGTAACTGTAGAATGACCTCTTCCACTATTACACACGTGTGTAGGTGGTATCTGGTTCCTCGAGTGCTGAGGGACGTGTCTACAGTGGATCTGTCTGTCTCAGTGCTGGGGGAGAAGCTCAGCATGCCGCTCTGCATCGCTGCCACTGCAATGCAGAGGATGGCTCATCCTGAAGGAGAGACAGCCACAGCAAAAGGTTAACACACACTAAAGACACACGCACAAAACTGGGAACACAAAATGGAAAAAATGTAGCCTTGGTTTTCCAATCAGGTAAAATGAATGGATAAAATAACCCAGATCGTTTTATCACAGTACAGCTGTGCTATGTAGAGACAACATCAGCCAGAGTGTGCAGGTGTCTGTAAGTTATTACTTCTGCATCTGGTGCTACAGAAGAGGAGCAATCATAAAACAAGTGGCAATGTTTCTGTTGGCTCAACAAACAACAACAAACACACAAACTGTGCAATCTGCTGCACAGTGTGATGCTCGCTGAAGGTCCAGCCGCTGGATTACTCAGGAGGAGAAATGCGTGCAGGTATCTGCAGTCAGAGACAGAGAACGCTAAGAGAGGAAGATGAGAGGTAGTATTTTGTCATGGTTGGCTGTGTGGCAGGCAAGCAGAAGTGGTGGCATGTTTGTTAATACAGAGACACACATGTTAATGTGATCTCTGGTCTCCCACTCAGAGACACAGGTCTCCCAGTGTCCAGCATTCAGACGGCTACGTGAGGACACTCTTCATGTGAGAGAAAATCTGCTCACACAGATATGTAGCTTTTCAGTTCAATCAGCTGCATTTCGATGTCCTCTGTGTTCAGGCAGTTAATGCGAGACAAACCCAGCTCCTCATTAAAGCTTTCTGGTTTGATCAGAAAAGAAAACATTGGTCCATACACCTGAAAGTCCCAAAAACGCATTGTGAATTCTGTCTCAAGTCTACGGATGTATCCGTGTATTTCCGTGGTGATGATGCACTGAGAAGTGAGAAGGTGAGAAGTTCGGCCATCCGGGAGGGGCTCAGAGTAGAGCAGCTGCTGCTCCACATCGAAAGGAGCCAGCTGAGGTGGTTCGGGCATCTGACAAGGATGCCCCCTGGGCGCCTCCTGGGTGAGGTGTTCCAGGCATGTCCCACCGGGAGGAGGCCCCGGGGCAGACCCAGGACACGCTGGAGAGATTATATCTCTCGGCTGGCCTGGGAACGCCTTGGTGTTCCCCCGGATAAGCTGGAGGAGGTGGCTGGGGAGAGGGAGGTCTGGGCCTCTTTGCTTAGGCTGCTGCCCCCACGACCCGGCCCCGGATAAAGCGGATGAAGATGGATGGATGGATGGATGATGCACTGAGCTGAAAGCTCCTGAAGCATTTGAAGTATCTGAATGTGGAAATTTCAACATTGACTGATAAAACTGCCAGCTAGCAACGTCCCTCTCACCGGTTAGCTAAGTTACTTTTAGCCAATTACAAGTTGAATAAGTTGGGGTTGTTAGCTAAGATACCGTCATTAAGAAGCGCCACAACTAATGTATTTATGCAAACTCAAGGAAAAGGCATAAAGCCTTTGAATGAAAACAAACGCTCTTGTGACAGTGATGTACAGTCTTGTTGGTATATGTATGATTTCTATACATTTTGCATCAGATAAAAACTTTGGTTGTAAGATAATTATTTATTAAAGCTAGACATTTTAAATGAGAATAAGAAAGAAAAGTATTTCTTTGTGCCCCTCTTACAAAGCTGTTACCAGCTGTCAGCGACTTAGAAAAGGATCCTGGTGTTATTTGTCTCTCAGAAACAGTTCATAACTTCCCTTCAACTCATTCATGTCACCTAAAAGGTAAACCTGTTTCTCCATCACCAGTTCAGCTCTGATGATTCAGTAAGGACATCTCCTGGTTTCATCTTCATGTTTCCCTCTCACCAGATATACAAATCGATATCATGACCAGCAGCTTTACAGCTGTGGCTCCAGCAAGCATCAGCTGATACTAGAAATTAATGTTAAATAAATTCTAACAACAGCCGATCAAGCTTAAACGTGTGTCAACTTGGACATCCGGTCAAACTGACGCATGCGTGCACTGCTTCTCGAGCCAATTTTGAACTAGTTTTGTCATAATTTTCGGTGCTTTTGCTTGCTGTTAATTTCGAACCAGAACCAGTGAGTACCACATGATTACAAACCTCGGTGAACACTGCTTAATTTAAATCATCACAAGAGAAAAGGAAGAAAAGAAAGAAAGAATAAAAAAAAGAGAAGAAGGAAAAAGGAAAAGGGAGGAGAAAAAGAAAAAAGACAAAAAAGAAAAAGAAAAGAAAAAAAGAAAGAAAGAAAGAAAGAAAAAGAAAAAAAAAGTATCCTTTGTGTGGGAAATCCGCTTCATTAGGGTCATGACGCGGGCGAGATTGCGCTTCCGGGATGAGTCCGCTGGGTCCATGTACTGGTCGCGTCGTTCTGTCATGGTTGGCTGTGTGGCAGGCAAGCAGACGTGGTGGACCCAAAATTGCAGGACTCTTGGAGATGGGAATAAACTGAAAATGCAGCTTTATTGCTGGAGGAATGATTCACGAAATAAAACTTACAAAAGCAAAACTCCAACCCGAGGTGCTGGAGGACAGGACATTACAAACACACAGCAAGTTGAGGGTACGACGCGACACTGACACAGAGAAACACAGGGCTTAAATACACAGATGGCAGTAATCAAGGGATGAGAGACAGGAGGGGAACACACCTGGGAGAAATCACAGCTGACGAGACAGGGGAAACGTAAACTGAGCACACTCACATACGACAGAGACCTTCACAATAAAACAGGAAACTCAGACACATGGAACCAGACAAGACATTGAACTAAACAGACAGATTAACAAACAGACGGGGTGACACCATAGACAGACAGATACAGACGCAGACTCAGAGGCAGACCGAATATAACACGTAGAACTCGAACAATAATAATAATCATGATAATAAATTGGAAAATGCTAATAATAAACTTAAAGCGCTGGGTCACCGACCCAGGACCATGACAGTACCCCCCCATCAAGGGCTGGCCCCCGACAGCCCCAAAAGACAAACAGACCACCAAGCCAGGGTGGGCGGCGGGAGGCACAGGACGGAGGGCCCAGAACAGAACAAAAGAAGAGCCCCCCCAGAAACCCCCAAAAAATGTCCAAAAACCACACAGGGGAGCAGAGTCCAAAACGTAGGTCAGGTCGTCTGTCTGGGGACCGATAGGTCAGAAGGCCAGCACAGTTCATTTCGGGAGGCCGACCGTGCGAAAAGCAGCGGCGGTGACGGGCAAACAGTTCTGGAGGCCGACCGTGCGCATGGCAGCGGTGGCAACAGAGCAAGTCCGGGGGCCGACCGTGCGTATGGCAGCGGTGGCAACAGAGCAAGTCCGGAGGCCGGCCACGCAGAAGGCAGCGGCGGCGTTCAGGAGGTCGTCCACAGCGGCGACGACGCCCAACTAGAGGCCAGGAAAGCGGCCAGCAGAGACGAGGTGGAACAGGACGAGCTGGAACTGATGATGGTGTGGCAACCGCAGGACCAGACGAGGCAGGACCAGACGAGGCAGGACCAGACGCTGAAGCCGGACCTGGCGTGGAAGAAGCCACTGCGGCTGGACCAAACGAGGCTGAGGCGGCTGAAGGCAAGGCTGGACCAAACGAGGCTGAGGCGGCTGAAGGCGAGGCTGGACCAGGCGAGGCTGGACCAGGCGAGGCTGAAGGCGAGGCTGGACCAGGCGAGGCTGGACCAGGCGAGGCTGGACCAGGCGTGGGTGAAACCGGAGCTGGACCAGGCGTGGGTGAAGCAGTAGCTGGACCAGGCGACGGCGTGGGTGAAGCAGTAGCTGGACCAGGCGACGGTGTGGGTGAAGCAGAAGCTGGACCAGGCGACGGCAAGGATGAAGACACAGAGGCTGCAGCTGGCGAGGATGAAGACGAAGAGGCTGCAGCTGGCGAGGATGAAGACACAGAGGCTGCAGCTGGCGAGGATGAAGACACAGAGGCTGCAGCTGGCGAGGATGTAGACTCCGAGGCTGCAGCAGGCGGCGGCGTGGACGAAACTGTTGATGCCGCTGCTGCTGCAGGTGTGGATGAGGCTGCTGGTGGAGCAGCTGGTGGCTGGACGGGCTCCTCAGGCCCCCCAGCTGACGAGGAAGGTCGCTGGACGGTCTCCTCGGGCCCCCAGCTGGCGAAGCAGGAGGCTGGACGGGCTCCTCGGGCCCCGCAGCTGGTGAAGCAGGAGGCTGGACGGGCTCCTCAGGCCCTCCAGCGAAAACAGTCTCAGGACCAGTGGGCACAGGGGCCCCTGGAACACACAGGACAAAACCAGCAGGCGCGGGGACCTCTGGCAGGGACAGAACGGAACCAGCAGGTTACTCACAGCTGCTGATTGCTCTGGGAAGGGGCTGGAGTGCGGCTGTAGCGAGGAATGGTGATGGCGCCGGTGCCGTTTCCTCCTGGAAGTGGGAGTGGAAACTGCAGAGGAGAATGGCGATGGCGTAGAGGCCGACTCCTCATCCTGCGCCCACATGGCCGCAAGGAAAGAGGCTGGCGAGCGACAGTTGGAGCAGACCGGAGTCAGTGGTTCACTCGGTGGCAGCGGCAAGGGGTTGATATCCTGCCCGTGGCGATCGCTGTGGTGTCGCAGAAGGCTCCGTGTTCGGCTGCTGCTGTGTTGCAGGGAGCTTACACTGCTTCGCGGCGCGCTCCGTCCGTTGCTGCTGTTGCTGCGGAGGCCTCGGAGTGGAGTACTGCGAACGAGCAAAGGCCGCTAGCTCCTGAGCCTGAAGAACCTCCTGGGCTTCGTGCATCTCGTCAATTAAGCTCATGAATCCCTTGAGTTGGCAGAGATGTGGATTCCCCTCGAGGATTGTTCCGATAGCGTTTAATCCGATCGCCATTGCCTTAGTATCCTTTGTGTGGGAAATCCGCTTCATTAGGGTCATGACGCGGGCGAGATTGCGCTTCCGGGATGAGTCCGCTGGGTCCATGTACTGGTCGCGTCGTTCTGTCATGGTTGGCTGTGTGGCAGGCAAGCAGAAGTGGTGGACCCAAAATTGCAGGACTCTTGGAGATGGGAATAAACTGAAAATGCAGCTTTATTGCTGGAGGAATGATTCACGAAATAAAACTTACAAAAACAAAACTCCAACCCGAGGTGCTGGAGGACAGGACATTACAAACACACAGCAAGTTGAGGGTACGACGCGACACTGACACAGAGAAACACAGGGCTTAAATACACAGATGGCAGTAATCAAGGGATGAGAGACAGGAGGGGAACACACCTGGGAGAAATCACAGCTGACAAGACAGGGGAAACGTAATCTGAGCACACTCACATACGACAGAGACCTTCACAATAAAACAGGAAACTCAGACACATGGAACCAGACAAGACATTGAACTAAACAGACAGATTAACAAACAGACGGGGTGACACCATAGACAGACAGATACAGACGCAGACTCAGACCGAATATAACACGTAGAACTCAAACAATAATAATAATCATGATAATAAATTGGAAAATGCTAATAATAAACTTAAAGCGCTGGGTCACCGACCCAGGACCATGACAGTATTTGAAGGGAAGAACTGCACATTTAAAGATTTGATTAATGTCATAATGTTTCATCACAAATTGAATCTGTATATGGGGTATTTTCATAAATTATGTATTTTCATATTGTGAGACATCCTACAATTTGTTGCATCAAAGTACTGGGTAGTTTTGTGCTGTACTGAGGTGAATTCCTAGTAAAGCACTGTTAGGCTGTTCCTTATGGTCAGACTTATGTTACGCAGTAGGTTACTTAGCATTTAAGATGATAATACTTAGATTAACCCACTTAATTCAACCTTTATAACAACTGTATACAGTATAAGGATGGTAGTGGGCTATCCCCAGTGGATAAAGATGGTACAAACAGCATGCTGTAAAGGACAGCTTGTGAAATGTCTGCTTCTATCTTGTTGGATTCAGTTTTGTAAATCCACAATGGTCAGCTGGTCACACCCTGCACAGCCTGTCCTGGAGCTCACATTACACATCACTGCGAGTTGTGAGACACTGCACAGATCTCAGGCTCCCACTTTAACCCCTGACTGTTCTCATTGTTCTGTGGAAGCAAAGTCGCCCTCAAACAGACAACAGCTAAAAAGTTCTCATTCTCATAACAGATTCAAGCCGAGTGAAAACATTCAAATTAGAATTTCAATTCAAAGATTCTTTGCCTTCTCATCTTTTTATTTTACTATTTTATTAGTCGATCACAGGGTTCAGTTATTTCCTCCGACATACTCCTACTGAGATACTTTGGGAAACTTTGGGAATCACCTTGTTGGTGCAAAAATATTGTTTTGTCTGTTACTGTGTTATCGTTGGCATTTGTCATAGATTTATTCTGTGACCATCTGCCAGTAAAATTGCTTAAACAAGCAAGTGAAAAGTCTTTGCCAGGTTTGATTCATCCTCTGAGTCAGGAGCCTTTTTTGTCAGTTTAGTTTTATTGGTAAATTTTCCTTTCCGGTTGTTCTGAATTTTTTGTTGCTGTTCTGGTTTATAAAGCGTCCATTTAGTCCTTTTTTCTTCGTGCTGAGCTTCCTTTGGTGTGTCACCTCTTCCATAATGTAGATTTCCTCTACAATCTGTGTCCACTGGTCCAGGGTAGGAGGATCTTCTTTTCCCTATCCCTTGGTGATAGCCTTTTTCCAGCATTAGTGATATTTTAACCAAATATCTGTATTTTAAGGTGCGATCGTGGCTCAGGAGTTGGTAGTTTGTCTTGTAATTGGAAGGTTGCCGGTTTGAGCCCCGGCTCGGACAGTCTCGGTCGTTGTGTCCTTGGGCAAGACACTTCACCTGTTGCCTACTGGTGATGGCCAGAGGGGCCGATGGCGCGATATGGCAGCCTGGCTTCTGTCAGTCTGCCCCAGGGCAGCTGTGGCTACAACTGTAGCTGCCTCCACCAGTGTGTGAATGCGAGAGTGGAATTGTTTTTTTTTTTTTTAACTTGAGTATGAACTCATACAAAAAGCAGCAAGATATTTAAAACAACTGTTTTATTGATTAAAAAACACACTATATCGGATTCATATTGGTATCGGCAGATATCAAAATTTTTGATATCGGTATCGGACATAAAAAAGTGGTATCGTGCCATCTCTACTAACAACAGCTGATCAAGCTTAAACGTGCTGCTGTTGTTTAGCGCGACATCTGCTGGTTTCCTCTTTCTGGCGCAAAGTGGACGATCAACAAACGAGAGAGACGATCAGCTGATCATTGATCAGTTTCATGATTGAAGCAGTAACGGGAGAGGGAGGGGGGAGAATGAGAGAAGAAGAGGCAGCTGTGCAGCGTAAACACAGAATAACTCCAGCTTTGTCTTTTTCATTGTAGCTGAAGTCCGGAACAAACTGTGTTCCTTTTCACCTCAACACGAAACGCGTAATATTTTCTCTGAATACGAGACGATTCCGTTTTTTAGGAAACGGTTGGCAACTCTAATAATTAACCTTATAAACAAAATAAAGTTCAACATCAATAACATCATAGCACCACCCAGCTGTACAGAAACTCTATCATGCTAGCTAGCACGCAGCACGAAAAAGTCAGCATAACGAAAATAAACTCCACCTAAACTTGGTTCATATCTGACTGCAGGTCATAACTTCTTACCTGAAGTTCAGTTCACCTGACACTCGGACCAGCGCCCGCCTCGGGTCTCTCCTCTTGCCTCCCTTTCCCTCCTCCACCTGCTGGCCTCCACCACTTGCTAATGTTACTGAATCTGTGGAAGCTCCGCGACAGCCACCACACGAAGTAACGAGTAACGAGCCTATCTAAATCCCAGTAACGACTAACGCGTTCCTGATTTTGGCATAATAACTAGTTACCGTGCTCGTTACCACAATAATAACGTAGTTACTGTAGCGCGTTACTTAATAACGCATTAGTCCCAACACTGGCCATTTCTCTGTCTGACAAAACTCTCACTCACTTTTTCTCTGTGTGACTCAAGAGTGCCCCCCACGGGAGGAACATGAATATTCCAGCACGCTGAAGACATGAACACAGCATCAGCACACAGAAAAACACTGTGTCCTGATTAAAAGTTAATTAACAGAACTAAGATAAAAAAGGTACATTCTTCCCTGCTGTGCCTCATGTGTGCTACATGTTCACGGTGGCTGTTTCGATTATTCGAAAGTTCTGTATTGAAGACAAATACTACCCCCGAAAAAGTAAGTACATTACTTACAAGATGGATTCATGTGATTGCTTTCAAAATCATAGGAGCATGAAGGAATTACAGTTGTCAGAACATATATATCTATAAAATATGGCAATAGTTTTATCAAGGTCTTCTATAAGTTTGTTCTGATAATTATCTTGTTCTGTTCTCTAATCCTAAATAATTATAGTCTTTGCATGATTAATATATTATTCAGTGTTAAGTATCACTGTATAAACAGTGACACATCATTTAAAAAAAAAAAAAAAAAAAAAACCTGACATGAGGACATTTCCCTCGTGTCTCTCGGTCCATTGCTCCCTACTCATAGGTTAGTTTTCAAGTTTAATTTATTTTCATCTTTTCATTTTTTGTGTCAGCCTACTAAGCGGCTAGTCTTTGATTAAATTTACACTGCCTCAAAGCCTCTGCATTTGGGGCATCACAACCCTCACACTTCACACGTATGACATGCCCCTGTAGGAGTTTAGAGGTGTTTAGGAGTTTGTTCTTTACTGTGATTTTGTTGAGGCCATAGAAATCTATCTTTGTCTCTGTTCAACAAAGAAAAAACATCACCAATAGGAGAGGAAAGGGGCGGATTATACTGGAAGCAAGAGAGTGAGTGAAATATTTCTCCATAGCTTTTCATTTGGGTTCAGTTAAGTTGTAGAGACGACTAGTGGGCAAAAGGCAACTGGACAGATCTATGGAAAAATTATTAGGTAGGTGAGGAAGGGGAGAGGGCGAGATCTTTACTGAATACCTGAGTTGGGTTAGTTAAGTTAAAGTATTATCATAACCTCCTTTGAAACTTCTTTGGAAAAGACCATTGTCACCAGTAATATAACATTTCTTCACAGCATGCAAAGCAATGGGAACTGGGATGATGCTGAGTTCCTGGGCCACCTCAACAATAGAGGAAGTGATGTCAGCAATGACTACCTCACTGGGCAGTGGTGGTGTCCTCTGGCTGCAGCTCTACATCTATAAAGACAGGGAGCTCACGCTGTCGTTGGTGCGCCGGGCCGAGAAGGCGGGCTATAAAGCCATCTTTGTTACCGTGGATACACCATACCTAGGGAAGAGATTGGATGATGTGCGCAACCGCTTTAAGATGCCCCCACACCTGAGGTAGGGAAACAAAAAGAACAGTACAGGCTGTGTAATTACACCACGTTCCTTTGTAGCATCGAACTCTGAACTCTTCTTTCTCTCTGTGTCTTTGTGCATGTGTGATTCCAGCATGGCTAACTTCTCAACAGCCTCCCTGGCTTTCTCCGAGGGAGACTACGGCAATGACAGTGGCCTGGCTGTTTATGTTGCAAACGCCATAGACCCTTCTATCTGTTGGGATGACATCACGTGGCTGAAAAAACACACACGCCTCCCTGTGATTGTAAAAGGAGTATTAAATGGTAGATGGACACACACACACACACACACACACACACACACACACACACACACACACACACACACACACACACACACACACACACACACACACACACACACACACAGTTACAGATCATAGTGTGAGGAAAGAGAATCATGACAGTCTCACCATCTCACTCATATATCCACCATATTACCAAAACTGTTCACTCACCCATCCAGGTGTTCCAGTCACTTCCATGGCCACATGGAATCAGGTACCTGGAGGCAGCTTCTACAAACATTTGTGAAAGAATGGGTCGCTCTCAGCTCAGTTTCCATGGCCAAGCAGCTGCATCTAAGTCTTACATGAGCAAGTGCAAAGTGCAGTGTTGTGGGGCACTCCGCCACTAGACTGTCGAACAGTGCAGACATGTCCTCTGAAGTGACGCGTCATGCTTGTCCGTCTGGCAATTCCATGGACAAGTCTGGATGTGGTCAGGAGACTTGTCTGACTACACTGTGCCGACGTAAGATTCTGGTGTGGGGTTCTTTTTCAGGAGCTGGCTCAGCCCTTTAGTTACAGTGAAGGGAACTCATGCTTCAGTATACCTAGAACATACCTAGAACTATGTGGGAATAGTGTGGGGATGGCCTCTTTGTGTTCCAACATGTCTGTGCACCAACGCACAAGATTAAGTGAGTGTGGTGTGGAAGAACTTGGCTGGCAGGCACAGAGTCCTGATGACACACAACTCTATATTTTATCATCAACTCAGGACCATAGCTCCTACCCTCGTTTATAGAAAATAAAACGGTTTTTAGGTCTTACGGGTCTTAGCAAAAGATCTCCTACAGCTTATTCAGATGCAGGGGGCTGAATCAACCAGGTTCAAAAATGTTGAGAACATTGGTCCTGTTTTCAAATCTATACATTAGCATTGGATGTCACAATGGATGTATTTTAAAACTCTTCTACTAGTTTAAAAAGAACTAAATGGACTTGGACTGAATCAGCGTAATACTAAGGCATCCATTGTAACTTACACTATGTACTGAACTCGCAGTAACAGACCTTCAAAATATCCCCAATCAAGAAAAAAACAAAGAAAAATCATTTAGTCTTTTTTTTGTCATCAACTGTGGAACAAACTTTCTGAAAACCTGAAATCATCGAGTTTTACTTCGTTTAAATCAGGCCTCAAAACGTTTTATTATTGGAAGTAGCCTATTAATGAACCACATCTGCAAACTGATTTGATTCCATTTAATTTCTAGTGGGTGGTCCCTCATGTTCACCTTTTTGTGGTCTAAAAGTTAGATGTCAGAGAGCAGACTAAGAGTTGGCTACAGAGGACTGGATCTTCTCTTAATAAACTGTTTTGACATTACTTTTACCAAAGTTGTTGCAGAAATAACCTCTAATCTCTAATAAATATATATTACTGCAGATCTGCAAACACAGAAAACAACTCTTCCGATTAGAAGCAAAAAAGAAACAAGACTTTTCTATTTCTCTGATTAGTTTTGTACGGTTTATATCATGACCTGTATACATGTATCTTTATACTCCTTTCTATCCCTCTGAGTTGGCTTGTCTGGATAGTTGTATACAAATAAATTTGACTTAAGATGCTTTTCAAGTAGACTTTAAAGCATCCAGTGCTGCACACATCAGTGGTTATATTTTGGCAGTATTAGGAAAATGAAAGTCGCAGACATTTGGTGAGGTACATACACACTGGTTCCTCACAGGTGTACTAGGAAAACAATGCTATCAAGAGTAACTGTATTCAAATACAGAATATGCTCATCACACAGAAACCCTGAGCTTATTTCTCTGATTTTGTGTGTCAGGTGAGGATGCTGCCAAGGCTGTGAACTGTGGTGTCAGTGGCATCCTGGTGTCCAATCACGGAGCTCGGCAACTGGACGGGGTTTCTGCCACGGTCTGTGTGTGCATTTGAATTTTTCTGTTTTTGGGTGGATTGCAATTGAACTCTGACAAATACAAGTTTTCATTAAGCAGCCCTAAATGTTTGATCTTATATTAATAATAATAATAATATTAAAAATGTATAACCTGAATCTGTTTTTATACTCGGTGCGTCCATCCAGTAAAAGTGGCTTCACAGATGCATGAGGTGACCTGAAATGATTGTTTTGGATAAAACTGGGGCTCCCGAAGAAGGACCTGACTGCTGAACCCAGGATTGTCTTAAATATGTTTAAATATGAAATCTTATCTACTTTTCTTAAGACTCTCATTTCCTACTCTGCGTGCAGTGTTACGGTGACCGTTTTGAGTTTGAGTTCATGTTTCCTTTTGGTTTTGGAAGTGATTTATCTTTGAGGGCTTTGGTTGTAGTTATCATTTTGTGCCTCTCTTGTGGCCTTGCATATAAAATTCAGAACTGCAGGAAACCATTCCATCCTTTCCACCGGAGGTAGTCTTTAATAAAACCACACTCTGTGGGCACAAGCGTGGTTGGAGTTTGGTTCCAGACTATGGAGATAAAGGATTGTCAATCTCATCTTAATATCGCTTTGCATAGAGACTGCCTCGTGACAAGGACAGGCACAGAACAGAGGAGACATGTCCTCTAAAGTGGTGCAGCTTGGTTAGGTTTGGCTTGATTCTGCTGTGGTCTGTAGTAATAATACAAACAACTAAACAATCAGTACAGCAAGCAAGCGACATATATTCTATACACAAACATAAGATTACAGAACAGGACTGTATTCAGCAATCAAATGTATCAGTAACGTAAAACTAGCATAAAGTAGCTTAGTAGCATGAATGGTGCCTTAGCATAAGATTAGTGTATACACAAGTGAACAAATACATGTGCTAATATTTAATCTACATGACATCATCATAACTCACCTTCTGGCATTCACACAGAGCAGTTAACCAAGGAAATACAGCTATCCAGTAAAAAGGGCAAAAGAAAAAGATGTGTGCTATCAGCAGCCGTAATGGGAGAAAGTAGACATTATAAACATTCACCACATGGCATCAAACACAGGTCGTGCATTGAAGGAGCTCCAGTATAGAGATGGCTTTCACAGACTATCAGTGGATGAAACATAATACTATAGAGAAATAACCAACATGTAAACGGTGTGCTTTCTAACACCTCAGATGATGACAAGCCTTGTCTCTTTATGGGAGACAGCACCCCACATCATCACACCTTTTCCACCAAAACATGTTGCCCTCAGTATTGCATTCAACAAGTCTTCTCCACACTTCTACCCACCCACGTCCACCTGCCATAGACAGAATCTGGACTCATCGCTGAAATATGGGCCTGACGATGAAGGGCAGTCATGGCAGGACTCCTGGCAGAGACCAGACATTGGCTGTGTGCAGTTTGTTCTGGATTGTCTGGGTAGAGAGCAGTCAACCATATTGTCCTGAAAACCTTGACTGCAAATCTGTTGAAGGTTGCTTATGTTTCCTAAGTGCTGACAGGGAGAGGAAATGTTATTCTTGTGGTGTCGTCATCTTGGGACGCCCACTTCATGGCCTGTGTCTGACATCCCCTGTTATATGCAACTTGGCCTTCAATTTGAAGATGGTACTAGGGCACTCCAAATAATGCTGTAATTTGGGGTTTTTGGTTGTTTTAGGAACAGCAGCTTGAAAATGCCCTCTGGCACAGGCCCTATCCAGATCAGTCAAACTTAGCATGATGGGAGCAGACACCAACTGACTGCTGACATGCTCACTCAGGCACCAACCAGACTCTTAATTGTCAGCACTTGGGATACCAGCAGCTCAAAACAAGTCAAGTCACTTAAGTCAAGTGGCTTGTCATTTCAGCCATGTGCAGTGGTACAGTGTACTGTGAAGCAAGACAACGTTCCTCAAAGACCACGGTGCTACATATAACAGGCAATCAACACAGGAATACATAAAGTGCAAGTGTGCAAAAATTGCAACAGAAACAAAACAAAGACAGTGCAACACCAGACAGAACAGAACAATGCAGGCAAATGCAACAATGGGCTGTGCAAAAAGTAATTTGATGTACGAAGGGGTGTATGAGAGGACGTAAGTCCACTGCTCAACCCATCGATGTATTTTCTTTAAGAATGTGGCAACATTTAAGGGCAAATGAATCTTACTGTTGGAAAGACTGTTTATTGCCAGGAAACGTGGTTGCAATGAATAATCAACCAAACACAGATTTCCTTACTATTTGTTAAAGTTCATTTAGTTTGTAATTTGTGTCGTGTACTTTTGGTTTTCGTCTGGATTGGAGTCAATTTGTCTTTTATTCTATTTGATATCTGGTTTAATGTTTGTGAAGTTGTTGCTTTAGATCATAGGTGTCAAACTCTGGCCCCCAGGCCAAATTTGGCCCGCAGCCTAATTAACATTTGGCCCGCGAAGCCAAAACAAGTTACTATTAGAGCTGTAGATTCATTCTTATATCTGGAGGAATAAATATATTTCAATAAATATTAACGTTAGCCCACGACTTTGTTCCAGTTTTGAATTTTGGCCCACTGTTTGGTTGAGTTTGACACCCCTGCTTTAGATTAATTCTTTGTTTAGTTTAGAAGTCTTTATTTTTCTTTTCAAGTTTTATTGAATTCTTGTCGGAGTTTTCAGTATTTGCTAACTTTAGTTCCTGTAGACATTTAGTTTACTTTTTAGGTCAACACTAGTGTTATTTCTTGACGTGTGCTTGAACAAAATGTTAAACATCTATACCAAATTCATTTGGAACATTGATACATTAGAATTTGAGGATATGATTTGAGTTAATAATTGTCATTGTAGTTGATCACTGTGTGTTTTGTGTGTGTAGCTAGATGCCTTGGAGGAGGTGGTGAGGGCAGTGCAGGGTCGATGTGAAGTCTACATGGATGGAGGAGTGAGACGCGGGACAGACGTCCTAAAGGCCTTAGCTCTGGGAGCAAAGGCTGTTTTCATTGGTCGACCTGTGCTGTGGGGCCTTGCCTGTCAGGTGAAGCACTTCAGTAGCTTTTTTCCACCATCACATTTTTTGGGCTCCAAAATAAAGATGGTTATTTATAAAAACATCATCTTGATTTTCTATGTCTGCCCAGGGGGAACAAGGAGTTATTGAGCTTCTGGAGCTTCTGAAAGATGAACTGCGACTGGCTATGGCCCTGTCAGGTAACAAAAACACAGGAAATGTACTTTGCAGAAAAGTCACCTATAAACTATTTTTACAAACCCGTTGAATATAAACACAAATGTGGACAAAAAAAACACATTGTGTATTTTAAAGTGAAGACTAGGGTTAAGGTTTGGTTTCAGAAAGCAGCAATTTATCTTAATTTGTTAAAAAGGAATTATATTGTATGTTATTTAGTAGGGGTGCAACGATACTCGTATCGATATTGAACCGTTCGATACAGTGCTTTCGGTTCGGTACGCATATGTATCGAACAATACAAAATTTTTTATTTATTTTATCAACTTTCCTTCTGACTATGCTGTCTGCGTTGAGCGCTCAGTGGATCTGCACTCGACAGTGCAGCCTAGGCGGAGTAGTCGAACGCAGATTCACTGAGCGCAGAGCAAGCTAGCAGACAGAAGTTAAGCTCTCCTTGCAACATGGCAAATTGAACCTCCCCCACCCTCATTCAGATCTGGCGTTTGGAATTATTTTGGTTTTCATGTGACGTATGACCCTGAAGGTAAGCGAGTCATGGACTAAAGTAAAACAGTATGTTGGATGTGCCATGCAATGCTCAATTACATGGGTGGGAGCTAGTGTGTTAGCGCAGTTAGCTCGTTAACGTGTTGGCCGTCCAGCCCCACGCACGGGGCGATCCGCGGTAGCTCGTTAACGGAGATTCGCTGTGTTGTGGCGTTAACGTCATTTCAGATTAACGCTGACAGCACTAGTGGGAACACAACGAATATGACTGCACATTTACGCCGACAGCATCCTAGTGCAAAGACAAGTGGAAGCAGACAAAAACAACCAGCACCATGCTACAAACTTTACCCGAGTCATTTAGACAGCCGTTAGCACAGGATTCTCCTTATGGGGACCTGATATGTTTAATATCCTGCTGAGAATATAGCCCAGAAGAAGCGTATAGTATAGCTTTTATTTTGGAAAGAGCCATTTCTCTGTAATAAACTCTCTTTTCCAAAGATGAGTGATTCCTCAATCAGATACAGGGCTCGCAATATCGCTAGCCCGACGTCCCAGGGCTAGCGATTTTTCCAGTCGGGCTACCAAAATCTATCTTTGCCCTGCCCGTCGGGCTATTGTAGGAAGGAAAAATATATGTCAATGCTTTTGCATTCTTTCAGAAATGTAGCTGGGTAATTATGTCATTGGCATCGGTGAGCCACTGTCAATATGTGACATATTGAAATCGCGTTTGAATTTGGGCTTGTTTTTTGCTTTCACTTTGCAATCGTGCGAACTGTGTATAGAGAGCGACAGCACTGATTGGTGAGTGGTGATAATTTGTGCACCAATTCCTCTGACACTCTGACCACTCCGCTAAACAGCCACCACAAAGCAACAAAAGAAAAACACAGTTCAACAGTTCAATCCCCCGGTCCAGTGGCAGCAAACACAGTTCTGGCGGCCGACCTGTAGGACGGCAAAACAAGCGGGACCCGCTGCGGGTTAGGCAGTGGCGGCAAAAAAGTTCAGGTGGCCTACCTCTAACCCCTTGATGGAAACGCAGGAGCTCCGGCGGGCGGCCATGGGTCCGGCAGCCGCGGTGGAACGGTTCTGGTGGCCTGCCACGGGTCCGGTGGCGGCGGCGTTGCTCCTCCGGCGGCCTGCCACGGGTCCGGTGGCGGCGGCATTGTAGCTCCCGCCTCAGCACAACCCATGATTCTCGATGTACCGGCCGGGCTGCAGGACGTGGCGGCCGGGCTGCAGGACGTGGCGGCCGGGCTGCAGGACGTGGCGGCCGGGCTGCTGGACGTGGCGGCCCCTCCGGCACGCCGACCTCCAGCTCTGGCTCAGCGGATCCCTCCGGACCTCCGAGCTCCTCCGGTGGCAGCGCGGGCTCACCAGGCTCGCTGAGCTCCTCTGCTGGCAACGCCGGTCCCTCCGGCTCGTTGAGGTCCGCCAGCAGCGGTGCGGGCTTCTCAGTGGGTGGCTCGCTGAGCTGCTCCAGCTCACAGTGCTCCTCCGGCATTAGCTCGCTGGGCTCCCCGGCTCACTGTGCTCCTCCGGCTCGCTGAGCTCCTGCTCGAGCATGCTGAGCTCCTCCGGCTCGCTGAGCTCCTGCTCGAGCATGCTGAGCTCCTCCGGCTCGCTGAGCTCCTGCTCGAGCATGCTGAGCTCCTCCCGCTCGCTGAGCTCCTGCTCAAGCATGCTGAGCTCCTCCCGCTCGCTGAGCTCCTGCTCGAGCATGCTGAGCTCCTCCCGCTCGCTGAGCCCCTGCTCGGGCATGCTGAGCTCCCGCTCGCCGAGCCGCTGCTCCCGCTCTCCGGGCTCCTGCTCCGGCTCGCAGGGCTCAACAGCTGGCCGTGCGGGCACCTCTGGCTGCGCTTCAGCCACAGATGGATGATCCGGAGGCGAAGATGGTGATGCGGTGTCCGCAGGTGGGGAAGGTGAAGGTAGAGCCGGTGAAGAAGATGGCCGAGGGGTGACTGCATGCGGATGGGATGATGACGGCGCTACAACCGCAGATGGTGAAGCCGCCAGTGGCGTGGAGACTGCTGAATGAGGCCACGCTAGTTGTACTGTTGGCCGGCTTGCAGCAGCGTCAGCGGTGTCACCATCCACTGAAAACAAAAAAGCAGATGGGGTGAGAAATGAAAAAGTGTCCTTATTACTCACCACAGCCGGTTCTTGAGATGTCCGGGAGGGCGGCTGCGGTGAGGAACGCCGGCGGCGCGAACGCCGTTTCCGGGTAGACGTCGGGGCCGGCGTATCAGGCTGAAGAACCTCAGGCTGGCCGAGTGGGGGGGGCAGCCTGGATCGGAGAGTGGAGGTGAAGGGTGTTGAGCAGGAAATCCGCCACAATCGGAAAAAGATTGTCCAACACCCAGGGAAAACAAGTCAGTGTTTCCTGCAACCGCTTCTCCACAGCACAACGTAAACCCTCCGCGTGCGCTTCCAGCCACAGTTCACATAGACGATTTACTTTGTCTGTCACCTCCCTCCTGAACCTCTCCGAAAAGTCCGCTGGGTCCATCTGGCAGGATCGTTCTGTCACGGTCTGGAGGGCAGACCGTGGGGGATGTTGGAGAAAGGACCCAAAACGCAGACTTAATGGAATGAACAGTGGGTTTATTTACAGTGAGGTAATTGTACACCACACATTAAATCTCCAAAAGTGCTCCCTCGACTCCCGTGACGTGTCTTCTCCCAAGTGCTGGTATCCCGTGCTCTCTGCCCCTGTGCCTTCACACACCCCGTGTGTCTTGCAGTCCTGTGTTCCGCTGTCCTCCTGGGGAAAAACACAGACACAGCCGTTATGGCACCAACTCCGGCAGGCATACACTTTAACAACACTAGAGACACTGACGTGGAGTCTAACTCAACGATCCTGCACCGGAGGAAGCTCCATCGCTCTGTTAAGTAGCTCCCCCGACGATCCTGATCAGAAGCAGGTGTGTGGTAAGCTAGGCGTGACCAGCAGCTGGCAGGGCCACACCCATCAGGCCTGCAGGTGGCTGTCCTTCATCCTCCAGCCTCACACACACACACACACACCAGCATGGAACACAAGAGCACAGTGCAGCAAACATACATCCAATACACTAATAACAATAAAGGTCCACACTGTTCACGAACCCCGAGTCCCCGGCACCGGGTCCGTGACATTATCAATCGTTAGCTTACTATGCAAACATGACAAGTGAAATCTCCCGCAGCTTAAACATGTGAGAGGTTGATCTGCAGAGAATCGCTGAGCGTTATGTGAGTGCATGTGTAAAAGCAGCAGCATATATATTTTAGTTCTGCTGAGCCAAATAAGACAGGTCAGGGTGAAGAAGTGACAGCCAAAGAAAAGCTTACCACAAAACGGAGAAGTTATGACAAATCAGACTATAAGGCAAAAAGAAAGTGCAGCTTTATGGTTTCATGGACAAAAGAATTTCTGTGGCTGCAATATGACGAGCTAAATAACCAGGGCTGCACATAAGTGGTCCGCAGGTGCACATTCGCTGTCAAAATAAAAAACACACACAAGATAAGAAGTTGCAACGCGTGTTTGTGTACATAAGATTTTCTGGAGGAGGACAGACATTTGTTTAGAACTATTAAAGATGTCGAAGAAGCTCCTTTAAGCAATTACTGTGATGTTCCTCCACCTCCAAACAAATGTCAGGAGTCCGAACCACAAAAGAAGCACGTATTCTCGGAAAAGTGGTTGCAGGAGGTGAGCTGGCTTCAAACAAATGATGAACGCACAGAGATGTGGTGCAGAATGTGCTGTGAAAATCCCACTCTAGCGGACAAAACCCTGCTTTTTATATGGACGCAAACGCGCGTTTGCGTCCATATAAATCCATATTAAATTTAAAACTGTACTTTTGAGTTAAAATATATATTCATAATTTTAATAAATGACAAATTAAAAAGGCATGAACATTTTTTTTGTATCGAAAAAATATCGAACCGTGACACCAAAGTATCGAACCGAACCGTGAATTTTGTGTATCGTTGCACCCCTATTATTTAGTTTATGTGTGTACATTATTATTATTGTACATTATTGTACTTTATTGAGCCCCGTGGGGAAATTGCTCTCTGCATTTAACCCATTCACTCAGTGAAGCAGTGGGCAGCCATTGGGCGCCCGGGGAGCAGTGTGTAGGGACGGTACCTTGCTCAGGGGTACCTCAGGGTAGCTGTTAAGGGGAATCGAACCCCCGACCTTCCGATCATGGGGCAACCACTCTACCTACTGAGCTATCCCTGCCCAGTGAACCATATACTTATTCACGGCCACTTCATTAGGTATACCTGTTCAACTGCTCGATAATGCAACATCGATGAAATACCTTGCTGATGTCAGAGGAGAATCGCCAGACTGCTTAAAGCTCACAGGAAGTATATTAGCTATATTAAGAAAAATAACCACCCGTTACAACCAAGGTATCCAGAAGAGCATCTATCAAGCACATTGGGTTGCAACAGCAAAAGAACATACCAGTATCACTCCAGTAGCTAAGAACAGGGTTCACCATGTGAACTGTAGAAGATTGTGAGCAATGTTGCCTGGTCCGATGCCAGTATTCCTCAAGCTCGAGTCCACTACCACAGGCTTATGAGTTTGAGATTTCTGCAGAGTATGTTAGCTTTTCATAGGACTGCACTCATCTGGACAGAAACCTCTGATGTTGTGCTTGGAATCTGCTGAGGTTAAAGCTCCTAATGCTCCTATTACCACTTGGATTGCTTTGGACTGTACACACCTGCTCCAGTTCTGCCTTCTGTTCCCAGTATGCTCCTCCTATCTGCTGTCCACTGGGATTACTACAACTGATCTTCTGCTTCTTGTTAACCCCCATTATATCTGGATGGCTGACCAGCAGTTGCTTGTTTGTCTAGAGCTGTCTAGAACTACGGGAAGTTGTAACATCGCATCAAGAAATAAAGGATGTAATTAGAGCTTTTTCCACTACCGTTGAGACAAAAAGGCAGTTAGTGTTAAGATACTAAGGGCATAAACTGAATGAGTAGTGACTCCAATCTTGAACTAATCTCCTGGAATGTAAGAGGCCTTAGGAAATTTATCAAACTAAAAGAAGTTATGAAAAGACTCAAACAGTATCACTCAAAAGTAGTCTTTATCCAAGAAACACACTTACTTGTGAGTAAAATTACTAAGGACAACATGGCCAAGTCAGGTGTTTTCTAGCACACATCTCATCACATGCTAGGCGAGTAGCAATACTTATTTAAAACAAAACCAAATCTTAGACCCCACAGGGAGATTCATCATAATACAAAGCTCACTGATGAACCTGACTTTAGTTAATCTGTATGGTCCCCAGTCTTTACAACACTTTGTTTCTTTATATTGCAGCTCTTTGTGGTGATAGATTTACACTCTTCTCATCTGGAAAGCAGACGGGTTATCCAATAATTCATGTCCGAACTAAAGATATACGGAGACTAGAAAACCCAACAATGAGAAAATACTTTTGTCATTCAACCAGACACAATAGCTGGAGTCCTATAGGTTACTTCCTTAATTTCTCTTGTCCCCAGAATTAACAGTTGTTCATATAAAAAAGTTCTCCTATCTGACTACTCCATTAATCAGATGTTACTTTTAGTTGTAGCCCATCTGGCACATAAAACCAAGCCTTTGGTATGGCGCATAAAATCATTAGTGAATGAGAGGACAATAAATGAACTGCAGATAAAAACATTACAGTCTGGTCTAAAGCGCTTAGACAGAAATCAGTGAGTGAACATTCAAATGCCACAGAGACGTTAAACACAGGAAAAACACCCAGCACAGATGGAATCCCTTTAGACCTTTAAAAAATATTTAAAGTGTTATATGTTACTGGAAAGTTACACTTCAAAAGAACCAGTGTGTACATGCCAAGGCTGGACCCTCGCCCCTCATATCTCTGACAACAGAATAAGCAAATTAAGTTGACAGTGGACATTGTCCAAATGAAAGTGTTGAACTCCCCAGGTGCTCATTTGGCAACACCTCTGGCTATAAATATTTCCTTTTTTTAATATTTCGAAAGAATGAACCACCTGTTTAAACAATGTTTTAAGTTGCCAAAGACAGCCTTACCTATCTGTTGTTAAAATGACTCTAAAAACAGATGAATTGTGCAAACTACATGCCAACAATGAACTGTTGTGGAATCAATCATTAGATGTTCTATGCTGCCAATGTCTATGACTAAATGCATAAACAAGGATGCAAGGATAAAAACAATCTTCAATAAACGTATTTAAAAGAAAAGACAGCCCAGATTAGGCCCATCTTTACTATATCTCCCGTATGACAGACAGAGGAGGCCTGTGTATGCCAAATCTCAAACGCTCCTGCTGGGTTGCTCAGGTCTCTGCTGCCTCCTGCTGGTTTTCACCCACAATATCCCAAAACAGTAGCATGGAGTTCCAGGTGAAGACTCTCAGAGGCTCTGTCTCTACGCCATGGATAAGATATTTGTCGACCTTCAGCCAAGTTCTAACATGAATATAAAGCTCTGATTGTTCTGATTGTAGAGCTCTGTGATCAGCATGTGTTGATGATGCAGCTCAAATAGATCTTTTTTTATTAAGAAGCTTTAACATTTGTTTTATTATGTGGATCTGCTTAGCTAGTTTTACATTACATGTGCCTTTTTACTGCAATTGTTTTATATTAATTTCATTCATATGTATTGATGTTTTTTTTTTTCATTTCAGGATTTTGACACCATGTAATTTTCTAAACTGAAGAATCCACAAAAAACATAATGAAGTATTAAGTGGAACATTCCCACTGCCCAGTCCTTAAATACTTTAAAGCTCGGAGACTTTCTCTCAGTCAGCCTCAGAATATGACTTTGATAAGGGTTTTTTTCTGCTGGGAATGAGAGATGTAAGAAGGAATATGAAAACAAACTGATTAGAAATGTATAATTAACAGAACTAAAACATTAAAGTCAAAGACTGTGATATGTTGTTAAAAGTGGAGAAATTATTCTAGAATATTTGGTTCCTCCAATCTTGAAAACACAAGATGAAGTAAGCTATTTTATTGTATCAATATATTTAACCTGATTGAGTCTTGTTACATTTACATCAGTTCAGATTTCAGACTTTGTCATCACTGGGGACTATTTGACAAACATGGTTTTGTGTGTTTGTGTCCAGGTTGTCGTTCAGTTTCTGAAGTAAGCAGGTCCCTGGTCAGGAGAATGGACTTCACCTCGAGGATGTGAGAGAACTGAAGAATACACGAATCATTTTTTTTATGAATCACTAAATGAATTCTTGATGTCAAAACAAAGTGCTGTTTCCTGTTAAAAGGTAATGTTTTTAAAGTGGTGCTTTTGACTAGAGCATGTAAAAACTGATACAAAATACAGGACCGTAAATCTTTGGACATACAGTCTCCCATAAGACAAGCCCTGGAGCTGATTGTGAGTAATGAACTTGTATTTAGCATCTTTTAACTGAAACGCTCAATATTGAGATTAAATCTAACTGTGAATTGTTAATATAAA